GAAATCTAGAAATGGTTTTTGTTCTTTTTATCTCATTCCAGTTTGAACTGCAAGATGTAGCAACAAATAGCTTCTGGAATTTGTAAATGAACTTTAATAAATCACTTGTGTTTTAAGTAACTCATGAAGTAGTTACTGAGCCAAACATTATGTGTAGTTTGTCTCTATAACTATTCTACCTTTGGCTTCTATTTTAAACTTGCAAGTCATTTTGGAATCTTTTCACAGTGAATACTCGTTCTTACAAGTAATGAAATATTTCTGTGCCAAAGTCGAAGGAAAAGAGGAATAAATTTAAAGATGTACTCAATAAATTATTCAAGTGATACAAATTTTGCATGTCCACAAATTTGAACCATTTGCACTAACGTTTAGACGTTAGGCATTTAAAATTTAATTATTAATTTAAAACCAATCAAACAAGAAGATCTATCAAAATTTGAGAACATATATCCATCCATGTACTCGAACTAACATCCAGAAGCATTCCAAATGTTTGAATCACTTCATTGCTTAGTTAAGTGATTCATCAATAAAAATGACATTTAACTAATTTGATCATATAGAGTAGAAATCATCTTGTAAATTGAGTTCATCACAATTATGTCCGGTATATAAAAGTATATAAACATTAACTATCGTCAGCTTATTTTGTGAAAAAAATATCCTTCACCAATTCCTTCTTAATAAACTTAGAGTCGATCGAGCATCCGATGACTAGAAGCACAAGGAAATTAATTTCTCTTTATTATCTAAATTGGAATATATAAAAAAATGTGTTACAGTTGGAATAGCAATACAATCGGCAAAATTGGGATCATCGGCAGAAATGGCCAAGAAATACTTTTCTTTTTATGGTATAATTAATTACACTTGCAACAACATTGCCAACTAATGAAACTTTAGCATAAAAACAAGAGAAAGTGTCAAAGATTAGTTTCTAGTCATTACCACCCAACCAATAAGACTTGTAATGAACTCCCAAACTAGCTACATGCCTAGATATATTTATATGAGCGTTCGTATCATGAATCATCTCATCTAAAAATTTAACTTGTTCTAAAAGAATGCGACAAAATTATTTATTTAATGTTTGTCTTCAACACATCACTTCATGTGATAATCAACTTTATTTTTATTAAATACGTGACATGTAAATAATTTTCAAAAATAAACAGCTTCGAGACATAATGGCATTACTTCGGTTGTCCTAATACCATATTAGAATCACTTCTTCTCAATATTAAGCTATTAGAGAGTAACAAATTTATTTATTTCTTGAACACGTCTCATCGCATGATGATAATTTTATTATTAATAACCACATGCATGCACAAATTTCATAAACAAGTTCTCTTGAGATGTTAGTCTCATTGATTTTCGTTGTTGGTACCGTGTTGAATTATCTTATCTAAAAATTTAAATTGTTACATAGTGTACAGTTGTTTATTTAGGAAAATACAATATATAGACACTACAAAATTAGGCCGGCGGAGAACGGCTAATCCAGCTTTGGCACTTTGTCAAGTTCACTGCTCCATATCTTCAATTCTTTGCTGTTACCATCCTGCAGAAAGAGATGCAATTTTCAGAACCACTTTCCCCTTATATTCTTCATCTTTCTTCTCCATTAACATTGCTCTAAATCATCCAAAACAAGCCTAAAATCCTATAGAAAAACTCCTTATCATGGCTTATACTTCGCAAAGCTCGTTTTTCGTGTTCTTTGCCTTGTTATTATGTGCCATTACAGTATCATCTGATGATGAATCCTATGCCAAAATCCTCATAAAGTTCAAGAGCTCTCTCTCCAACGCCACCATGCTGAATAACTGGATTGAACCAGTGGAGAAATTGTGCAATGGCTACACCCCTAAATGGACAGGGTTAGTTTGTGATAATGGTACATTTACAGGTATAAAGCTTGAAAACATGGGGCTAGAAGGTACAGTCGACGTCGATTCACTGGCAGAATTGCCATTGCTGAGCCTAAGTTTGATGAACAATAACTTCTCAGGGCCATTTCCTTATAATGATATAAGGAAACTTGGGAAGTTAAGAACTTTGTATTTGGCTAATAACAGCTTCAATGGTGATATTCCAGATGATACTTTTTCTGGGATGAAGGCTATGAGGAAAATTGTGTTGGCATTTACTGAACACACTGGTAAACATCCACAGTCTTTATGACAATTGCCTAGGCTTGTGGATCTGCAGCTTCAAAAGAATCAGATTGGAGGGAGAATANAAATTGTGTTGGCATTTAATGAACACACTGGTAAAATTCCCCCGTCTTTATTAAAATTGCCTAGGCTTGTGGATCTGCAGCTTCAAAATAATCAGATTGGAGGGAGAATACCGGACTTTTGGCAGAGGAATTTAATTGTTAATTTTGCTAATAATCAACTTGAAGGTCCTATACCATCTTCACTTAGTAGCCACAACGCAAGCTCGTTTGCAGGTAAGTCGTGATCAACTTGAATTCACTTATTTATATCTTCATTACTGTAGGCTGAATTTATTTATTTATTCCGTACATGTTTGTGTTTATAATTAGCTAGTTAATTATATATAAGACTTGAACTCACGATTTATTATTGAAAATAACAATTA